TATATATAAATTAATGCTGTTTATTTAAAAATAAAACAAATTGTTTGTAAAAATACTCTTTATTATTTTATTATAACGTGTTATCGCGTTTTTGTTTTCAGATAAAATCGAATTCGAGAACTTACCTCTTTCGGGAATCGCGTTTTTATGAAAGGATTAAATTAATGCTGTTTATTTAAAAATAAAACAAATTGTTTGTAAAAATACAGCGTTTCTCTTTATTATAACGTGTTATCGCGTTTTTGTTTTCAGATAAAATCGAATTCGAGAACTTACCTCTTTCGGGAATCGCGTTTTCCGTTATTTATGAAAGGAAACGTCACATGTATTTCCGTATTTCCGTTATATAAAAAGAAAAAAAAAAGCCGATAGTATTGGACTTACTCTCTTCCGCATCTCGGACACAGGACTGTCTTTGTTGAAAAAAAAATGTAATCTAAAATTTGCGTGATAAGAGAGGGAGAGAGAGAAGAGAAGAAAAGAAATTTAGCGCGGAGGGGGGGACACAGTTCTCTCTCAGTGCCCGCTTCATAGAGCTTCGACCACGACTGCGAATGCAGTTGGAGCGCGCACAACTGTGAGTGCGCCCTACAAACATGTGTGACTGTGACTATACGAACCTCTAGCTTCCATGTGCCACGCAATTGACGAGGTATTTATGCCGGAATGTGATAATATCAACATATCCTTCTCTGCCAAGAGAATTCACTTCCCCCTCTTGCTTTCTTTTATCTGTGCGGGTCCTTGGCTAACTCGAGGATCATTCTGAGATAAACGAAGATTCGGAGACAATATAGAAATCCTCAAATTACCGGTATAGGATGTGACCATATTTTTTGCGTAGAAAAAGCGAAGAATAGAAAAAAAATTAAGATATATTTGCAATCTTTTTAAGAGGGACAAGACTGATAGACGACCGTTTTCATTACGTTGAAAAAAAGATATGCTTCTCGATAAAAATATGTGTATCGTGCTGCTTGTAGCAAAAGAAATATAAATAATCTTTTGTAAGAGAATATACATATATCTGATGCCTATAAAAAAAGATAATATTTAATTAAAAGGTAATATTTATTTGACAAATAATTTGTTTCCGGACAAATTAGATTTATTTAAATAAAAATTAGATAAATTCGCTTTCATAGAAATTTAATTCATAATATCCTTGACGAGGATCTCGCGTGCATATTAAACACACAATCGACAGAAGGACAGGATTTTACCAACATAAAACTATTATTGAAATGTTTGAATATTACATCGAATCGTGATACCGGTGACACTTACTAAGACTCGGATTGTCTATTTTCAGAAAGAAGAGATTCGAACAAAGCGCGAAGATCACACAAGAAGTTGCACAAGACGTACATCGCTTAACGTACTGTTAAGGTAAAGATTTTAAATAATCTTAACGGTGATAGAGAGAGAGAGAAAGAAATAGGGAGGGCATACGAAGAAAAAAAATTTTCATCGAGACACGTCGGAATTGAAATAATAACTTGTGTCTCGAGCAATTGTTATTTTAGGCCATCTATACATAAACAGAGCGATCAGAAAGGTAAATTATCTAATATTAACGCGGTATTATAATGTACTGCAATTGCAATAATCCTAAGATTGTTATTTGGAATTAATAAAATAATGCTGGACGGACTTTGGTTCTCTCCTTTTTTTATTCTATACTCCTCTTTGTACGATTTTGAAATTAAAATAAATTTAATTCCGGCTTAAAAATCAGCTTTTCATCTTTCAAGTCTTGAATTTTTAAATTTTGTCATTTTCTTAATCTTTATTGTATTATATCAAATATACGAAGCTAACGAAATTAAACATATGGAAGATAAACAAAAGGGAAGGATTTATAGGAGAGTGGGTTATGTCCCGTAAATATATAGTCATAATTTTGAAAAAATATATATATATATCATTTATTAAAAATAAATATGCGAGGTGCAGAGACACTGTGTCTCGCGCCAACTAATAACAGATATAAACAGTGTATACTAATACTGTACATGGCACGATCTTCTTCTGGTACAAAACAGCTTCATACAACAATAACGCGTTCACTTCAAGCCGATTTGTCTCGTTACCTGAACACAATGCAATGGCATATACAATATTACGTGTTAATTATTATCGTCAGATTTACATAACTTCGCTTTGAAATATATCTCTCGTCAGATAAAATATAACCAGACACAAAATTTTACTACAATATTGCAAAACGCGTGCCGTTTATTTCCTTACGTCATATATTATTTAATAAATTCCAAAACTGAAAAAAACGAGATTTGTTGATGGATGAAAGTATAATCGAATATCGATGCATATAAAATGTCATTTAATCTATAAATCACACAATTGAAGGCAATCATTTAAAATAAACATTACAATCTTTTTCATGTCTCAAAGACTTTGATATAAAATTTGTACTTGACAAATAAAATCATACAGAATAATTGTTACTGCTAAATCTCTAAATATTAACTTTAAAGTTATTAAAAGACGCAATCTTTGCGTTTTTATTTCATTATTGTTTGATTATTCGGATTCGTGTTTCGCATTCGACGATTGATCGAATTACCTGTTCGTATACGGTCCAAGCCATGGTGGTCATCAGAGTTCGCCTCAACATTCTGGGAACGATACCTTTGAAGTATCCCAGGACGCCATACTTTTTGTAGACAAGGAACGTCGCATGGTAAATGCCATTGAATTCGTTCGGATACAATTGCATCTTTGTCTTGACAACGTCCGGCGGTTGCGTAACTACGGAGGCTAAAACTCCAGCGAGGATTCCGCAGCCAAAGTGAACTGGCATCGGCGATTCACCCGTCGCTCCTACGAATAAAGAAAATTTATCTTTAAGAATAATCTTTAAGGATCTCTAAATTCTTACAAATTAAGAATTACGAATAAATATTGGATAATTATATTATATTAGAATTGTAAATCATATAAGTAATTATATAATATTTTTATAACATTTAACATATATTTCTTTTCGCGTTTATAAATAATAATAATAATTTTACACATGTATATATAAAATTATTATTATAGCAACGTACTATGTTAATATCATTTAAGAAATACCTGTACTGGCAGCCACGCTTTTCAGTTGGGTATAAAACATAAGATATAAACCACTGTAAGGTGCATCTCGTAGTAGGGTAGGCACCAGACCACTGGATAAACCTCTCACTCCTTCCTGCTTATAGATCAACCTCAGAGCCTCGCTGATACCGTTATATTTATAAACGCCGCTCTGTAAAATTACGTTGATATAATCCAAAATCGGTTAATCTCAAATTTTATTTTGTGCAAGTCAGCAATCTCTTATCAAATTTCTCTATTTGAAATATTTAAATATTTTTATTATACTATATTAATATCATACTAAACTAGACGCTATTACTTGCAAAAATTTCTTTTCTTTTCTTGCTTAAAAATTTCTTTTTTTTCTCCTCATTACTCTCTTCTCAATATTTCTTTCACTCTCTCTCATGCAATTTCATCATATCCTTCTTTCTATTAATCGTACCTCGAATCGCGTCTTGACGACGGTGATAGGAATCAATAGAGCACCGGACATGGAGCGCGCGGTGATGCCTAAGGAGATCGCCTGCAAGGCCGTTAGCGGTTCTTCCAGATTGAAAACATGCTTCAGCCAATGCAGTGACGAGAAGTACAGACCTACGCCGGGAATTACCCTGGTTATCGACTGCGAATTAAGATTCATAATCGTTATCGATGCGAATAATCCAATATCCGACTATATATTAATCTCTCAGAACAAGGACATCTTACCGGCGTCATACCCTTCCAGAGTCCGAAGACATTCTCCTTTTGAACGATGTTTGCCACTGTGCCCAACATTCCATTTCTCGGCGATCTATTCCGGAGAAATTCGGAACATTAATTGGTAATTATATAGTTTATAAATATAAATGTTTAGAAATATATATATATGTGTGTGTGTGTGTTTAAAATTTAAGCTAAAGAATATGAAAATAAATTAATAATCAATTAATCAAAAAACTTAAGTTTAAATTAAATAAAAATTATAATTTTTTGAAAACTATAATAAACTTTAAATGAACAGCAATGATAGATTAAATAAACCTGTCTCTCTCTCTCTCTCTCTCTCTCTCTTAAATCTCTTGAAAGATTAAATTAGCCAAACTTTATCTTAAGAATCTTGAGCTAATAAAGATTTTGATTATATATGAAATAAGTTGTTTAAATAAAGAAAGCCTGACTAGAAATTTTATTTTATAGCTGTTAATCTTACTCGACGGGGGTATTGACTCTACTTTGAAGCCTAGTCTTCACCAGATCCAGCGGTTGAAAGAGGATCGTGGAGAATGTTCCGGAGAACGAGCCTGCCAGGAAGGATTTCAAGATCGGATACTGCGAACACACACATAGGAAAATCGTAAGAAAAGCACATTCGAACTTGTAATTTCTGCGAGTTATTTTATAGCTTTCTTAATTTCGCAAACAAATTTCTCCAATTTAGTGAAAGTATCGAAAACCCATTTGAAATCTTCAGACACATGTGTCTAAGATCGACCCTGGTGCGATACTTGATCAAACGCGAATTAATATATGGATATCTCGTCGCACGAGTTCGCTCACGTGCGACGAGACGATCTTGGCTGCGCGCTATCAATCGTTAACGAGAGTGACTCCGGAATTATCATCGCAAACAGTTATTTTCCGCGATGCAAAATTTTTTAAGTAACGCGCGAGTATTGCACAATTTGTCTTAATGTTTAACAACGAATTCACATTTTATGCTACACAAGAAATCTATTTGTTTTGTTCTTTCCTCGTAGATAGAAGAAAACAAAAAAATGGAATTTTGCCCGATTAATAAACTTCTTCATCAACAAATTTGTCGTCCGCGCGTGTCGGACGATATATCATAGTTTATTTGTAAATCATCTGACCGACGGTTTATCTTGGTCGTCTTATCTCTCCTATTCTCTTTTCGCGGAAGGTTTCCAAAGGTTTTAATAGTAAAATCTCTCGCGATGCGCGACATTATATAAGATGATCGTGGTCATTCGTGAAAAAAATTTGAGATCGATTTCTTTTTGTTGATAATTTTCAAACATTAGAGATACGTGAATAGAATTCTTAATTCCTTTGCTGCAAAAAGCCATCATTTTCATGAAACATTTATTACAATGAGCCATTATTAGTGATTAAACGAAAATTTTTCTTGTATACATCGTTGTTATGTGACTTCGTTAAATTGTCGAACAAATTCATTCGATAATTTCTTAATCAATTGACGCGATAATCTATGTAAGCTAACTTACATGATCTTACGTAAAATCATTCCAACTGCACAGAAGAAATAATAATAATTTTAGAGAAATATACTTTTTTGAATGCACTGTACATTGGTACAGATTATTTTGTTCTACCGTTATAAAAATATTAAGAATAAGATGTATCGTCTCTCTCCAAAGAAACATTGCGAATACAAAAATATATTTGTACATCTCGTATCTTTTGGAATAATTTTGCACAAGAATATTGTGTATTATATCAATTGCTTCTAACACATAGAATATATTGTTTTCATTTGTATTTGCATATTGAAAATAAAAAACATTTTGTAGCAAAATATTCTTTTTTTCTTATAAAATTGTTCCAAAAGGGATAGAATCTCTCTCTCTCTCTCTCTCTCTCTCTCTCTCTCTCTCTCTCTCTACAGATATTTTTTTATCCGCTGTATAAGATTTAAGAAATATACATATATCAAATGAATAGGACACGGTGATGCTGTTCAAATAGATTAACATTAATTTTCATTTTTTTTTAAATGATATATATATTGCCATATAAACATTTAAGACTTTTTCAATCACATCAACTAAAACAACATAGATGTTGTTACGTTGCATTCGTAATAACTGCATATGTCATCAATATATATGATTTTTTCGTTTTTATGATTTTGATTGATTCTTAATGGCGACTCAATTTCTTAATTATATTTGCTTTTAAATGTGCTTTTTTCCGCTGAAGAAAGCCCGAATTGGAATCGAAACATTCGCCAATCAAAATAGAAATTTATACTAAATATAAGAATATATTTGTGTTCTTAGTTCTGCATGTTAGTTATTATTTGCCTGAGGTTTTTTTATTAATATAGCTACTCTTCTATAGCTGCCAATGTATGATAAATCTTAATATCATTTAAAATGCTCAATTATCTAGACTGCCTTGTGTTGTATCCTACATTAGTATAGAATAAAAATTATTCACAATTCAAAATACTTACAGATCCCAGAGCTTCCATAATAGACCGATAATTTAGAAACTTATATTCACTATTATCAGATTTCAAATATATATAAGTGTCCCAAGAAAGAATTATGTTTAAAGTGTTATTTTTAAAAATGGTCGTAATTAAGAAAACACTATCCCAAAATTTCTTTAGCAATGATTTGTTATTTGATTCTCCTAGCTATATCGGTTTTTCACTCCTATTGACTTTTAATAATTTCACTGTCAACAGTTAAACAAAGCAGTTGTTTTGTAGAGACAGAGAAACAGTGGGGGAGGAAATTCTCCCTATATAATCGTCTTTAATGCTGGTTAGATACTGAATCATCTTTGGAAACGTGCCAGCTTTACTTACATCCCCGTTTATCTTCGTTTCGACATTCTCGAGGTCAATCGGGTGACCCTGCATATCGTGGCATGTTCGTGCGAATAAGAATGTCAGGCTTATCAGCTGTTGAAACGTGATTTAAACGTGACTTTATTTGAAAACGTGATGTACTTTGATGCTGGCACAAGTCAATCGGTATCGTCTTCATTCGACGACCCTTCCGCTTCTTCGCGCAATGATAATAGTCTGAATCATTTCTCATGGAATCCTTCCAACTCTTATAGAGAGATTTGGGATGATCGGATTGTAGGATGTATCCTCTTTCAGCTAAATTCGCCTGTGTTTGTAAAATAGAGAATTAAATAACATCTTATGAAATTTTAGAGCATAGAGAAGAAAACAAAATTGTATCAGTATGGAAATAGAATGATAAAAGGTAGCGGTTGTGAGAAGAATGCATAAGTGATACAACTACAACATCATTAACAAAATGTTTGTAATTATAGTTGCCTTCAAGTTGTGAGATCAAATATACTTCAAACACATATTTTTATGAACAGAAAAGAAAAAAAATCAGAATATGTAGATACAAGAAATGACTTTTTTTTTAATCAAATTTAGATCTCTTCAAAAGGATTAAAGTTTATCTATATATATATATATATATTTGAGTTTCTCATACAATTTATTCAGGAAATTGTACTTTATCGGAACGAATTAAATATGCAAGGCACATGTAAAAAAATAAATATATATAGCGAGATACAATAAAAAGTGAAAGGTTAAAATTGCAATTGCAATTATATACGCATCGTCATCACACGTATAGATCACTGAACGATAACAGAGTGATATCGGAATAACAAGAGCAGCGAACTTCCGCGAAAAAATCCGAATGTTCGAAAAGTTAAATAAATGACAACGAAAGAATTGCAATTATTACATAATCATTTCATCACGAATGCGTTTATATCTCAAGTCTCCCTCTGCAGCATCTTGTTTTGAAACATCGATATTTCGCTTCCACATTCCTTCTTTCTATTTTATATTGCTTGCATTATATATAGTTATCATTACACATGATCAATCGAGAAATCTATAAATGATTTTCCAAGGTTAACCACAAGACCTGTCCGTTTTAGCTGCTCTCTTTTCGTACTTACAACTAGAAGTAGATATATTCCGATTTTAAAGAAAATACAGTAAATTAAGCAAAGATTAAAATCGATATATTTCAAGAAATTTAAAATCCACCAGCAAACAAAAATGATCTGTCGTTTCTCTACGGAAGTACGGATTGTATATGTTACATATGCATTAAAACAGGTTAAACAGATATACGTAAGAAATCGATTCGCAAGGAAGAAATTCTGTATTTTAAGCTTTACTTTTATTCGCGACAAATGAGATCGATTGAAACAAAAGATCTATGATCTATTCGCTTCTAGTAATAGTACGAGAAATTAAATTGCAATTGAATCAATTACAGCAACTTCTCCATGGCGATTACGTAAAGTTAAAATAAACAGTCCTTTGTCATCCGCAAAAGTCAACAAAAAGCATTTTTATAAAGAAAAGAAGATTGACAAAGCCATGTGTCAAACGCAAAAATTCGTTTAATGGAATATACTTTCGTACCGAGCCAATGGAGAACGAAATGTGAGGCTCACGGGGATGGAGGTCGCATGATGAAAAAGTCACCGTCGACTGATAAGAGTTATCAGGCGGCGATCGCGACATCATTGTTTTACGTCTTTTCTTGTTTTCGTGCTCTGAATTGTTTATCTCTGCGAAATAAGAGGGGCCAGCTTATGAATATTAATCCAGCGTGATTTGCGTAATCGTTTCTGATAGAGCGACATAGCCGCGCGGTCACGACATACGAGATATCAATTTCTTTTCGTAATTCTATCAGTCGATGATGTAAAAAAAAAAAAAAAGAAAAGTATTCTCATAAGGTTTAGGGCCACCGCACAAACTTTTCCATAACACGTTATGCCCGTATCAGACTACGCATTGAAGATTGAGATTGAAGATCGAAGATTGAAATTTGACCAATCAGGACAACGAAATTTTAGTCCCTTTTGTTCTGATTAGTCAAATTTCAATCTTTAATCTTCAATCTTCAATTTTCAACTTACAACTTTTCCATTAGAGCAAAAAATTGATTGGCTATCGCGTCGTCTTTTGCCGCGCGGCAAGCGTTTCCACGTCCTGTGTGCAGAAGCCTTAGAACATATATAAATGGAAGGGGAATGCCTTTGTTTCCCGATAGAAAAACATGTCGGAAGGAAGTAAGAAAGAAAATCATAGTTGCCTCTCTCTTGTGAGTTACTTTGCTCAAAAGTGCGCATGCGCGGCCATGTGTGTGTACACAAAAGTATGTGTACTACAGACACGATGCTTGGATGTGTAGTTACTCACAAGAGAGAGGCAACTACGATTTCTTTCTCACTTCCTTCGACACTTTTCAGCCTGCTATTCCCCTTCCATTTATATATGTTCTAAGGCAGAAGCCTTAATATTTTTCACTTTTTTCGTTTCCGCCCTAGGGAAGAAGTTACATGATCGGTACACTGGACGCGGAAACGCTTGCCGCGCGGCAAAAGGCGACGCCAATCAACTTACAACTTTTCCATTAGAGCGAAAAATTGATTGGCTACCTCGTCGCCTTTTGCCGCGCGGCAAGTGTTTCCGCGTCCTGTGTGCAGAAGCCAAAAGAAGTAAATTGGCAACATTAAAAATTACTGATGCTACGTTTCATTTCTCCTACTCCCACCAGTAAATCAGCTGATGAGAAAAGTTAGGTTTATGAGTGAAAAATATCAAGTTTGTATATAGTGCACGTATAAAAATAAAAAATATGCCAATGACTTGTAGCATACTTGGCTGTTCAAGTAGATATTCCAAAGAAAAAAATATCAAATTTTTTCGGTAAATATACACAATCTTTTCCTCTCATTTTTTTAGAAACTTGAATTAAATTTTTCTATCAATGGGATATAATTTTTTAATTAAATTATATTTTTGTGTGTATTAAATACGCATCAAATATTTATATAAATTAACTTTTATATAAAATATTGCAGCTTTCCCCTCAAAGATAAATGTCGATTGACAGCCTGGTTGAATGCGATAAAAAGAGAAAATTGGACTCCTAGTAAATATGATACAGTCTGCAATGAACATTTTACCGCAAATGATTTTGTGCCTTGTCGAGAGGCTTATAAAACATTTTTAAGACCAACAGCAATACCTTCTATATTTCCTTCATCCACAAAAAGTAACAAAAGGAAAAAATACAAAACCAGAACAATAGATAATGAAAATAAAAAGAATGAGGAAGATAATATAGAGAAAAATAACTCTTATGAAGGAAATTTTACAAATATTAACATTGAGATAGATAGTACAATAGATAAAGATATAAATAATTCACATATTAATATCCAGTCAGAAATAAGTAATGAAAATATTGAAAATGTGCATACGATAGAAGATGTAATAGAGGAGCCAAATACATATAATGGAAACATCAATGGTAACATTAATCTAGAAACATGTAATTCAGAAACAGGTATAATAGAAGAGCCATGCGTAACATCATCAATATATGAGTCAATGAAAATTGAAAAAAATCGAGTAAATAACTATGATAGTTTAGACTGTTTGAGATTGCACTGTATAAAGAAATCACCAACTTCTACCGAAGTAAATTTGCGCCATAAAATTCGCATGTTACAGCAGAAACTGCGTAGGAGAGATGCTAAAATTATATATTTGCGACGGCTTTTGACACATTTAAAACAGAAGGTATAGTATCACATACATTGTATACATGGAATATTTTGTGTGCGTTATGCTATAAAATGGTTGTTTCTTTTACGTAACTAACTTTCATTACTTTATGTGTGTTGCATGTTATAAGCAAATATAAATAATAAGCTTCTACAATTGCTTTCTTAAATATTTTGATGGTTTATATTATTAATACTACAAATATTAATTTTTATATGTTTCAGGAGGATATTTTATCTGTCATCCAACATCTATAAAAAATTATCAGTTAATGCACAACTAAGCTTTCAAACAGATGTATTATAGAACAATATATATAAGACTTCTCTCATAGTAGTTTTGTAATGTGCGAAGTCTTATTACCTTTTCATAAGCCATACCTTAAATAAATAAATTTTGTTTCCACAAGTATAAAAAAGAAAACACATTTTAGCATATAAAATGTATCATATATATAATCACATATATAATGTGTATTAACTACGATTTCCTGAATTTTTTATTTCTTATACACGCAGAAAGAGAGAGAGAGAAATATATACATGTTTTACATAATCATTGCCTAATATCGATTAATATTCTATTAACTGCCGGCAAATTAAAATACGATAGCGTGTGTGTACGTGTATATATTAACATACACACCTATATGTTCTGCCCAATTAGGGCTGTGTTCCGATATTCACTGCCAGTATTGAAAATCTATAGTTTATGTCACGTACACTATAAATTTTCAGTACTGGCAGTGAATATCAGTGAATATCGGAACGCAGCCTAGATATGGCTGTTCTTTCATCATCTTTAGGGCCCGAGCACAGACTTTTGCATAAGCGCATAAGCATAAGGAATTTGATTGATCAATTTCCTTATGCATAAGGAAATGGACCAATCAATTTCCTTATACTTATGACTATGCGCTTATGCAAAAGTGTGTGCTCCCCGCTTTAGCATTGTTGATAGCGGTCTAGTACAATATAGTTTGTGGGAGAAACGAAAAGTAGAATCCATAGACATAGTATATCTAGACCGAGCGTTTGCCTTTATTTAATGAGTGGGGGTAAAGATACACGTAGAAAAGGACATACTCTGTTTTATGCCCCTTGCGTTCTCTCTCGTGCGAGCGAGAGAGAACGCAAAGGGCACGAAACAGATTATGTCCTTTTCTACGTGCACCTCGGCTCCCACTCATCAACACTCGGTCTAGATATACTATGTCTATGGTAGAATCACTAATTTTCAATGCTGCCAATATTATATTAGTAATTTTCAATGCGGCATTAATATTCTGCGCAGACGCTTAACGCTCGACGCTTGACGCTTGATGCTGCCATGTAAAGGCACCTTTACAGTTGTCGTTGATAAGCTTTGTCGAATGTATTGATTGGCTAATGCTGTAAGAAACGTTCAAAATCCTAGAAACTCTTTCCGATAACCAATCGATACATTCGATAAGACCCAAGATCGTCGTATCACAAAGGCTACGGTCGAGAAGACACTAGAGATGCTTCGAAGCATTGCATTAACCAATTAGAATAAAGAAATCTTTACTCTCTTTGCCCTGATTGGTCAATCAAACGCTTCGAAGCATTTCTAGCGTCTTTCCGACTGCAGCCAAATGTAATGGCACCCTAAAGCCCATATCAAACTACGCATTGAAGATTGAGATTGAAGATTGAAGATTGAAATTTGACAAATCAGAATAAAGAAATTTTAGTCCTTTTTGTTCTGATTAGTCAAATTCTAATCTTTAATCTTCAATCTTCAATTTTTAATGCGTAGTCTGATACGGGCACAATATCATCCTAGGCTATGTTCCAAAACGTACTCTCCGAGGAAAATTTTACTCCGATGGCCGTTCCGAAACTTTTTTGAGCGTCTCTGATTGGTTCCAGGTTGGCCATCGAGTAAAATTTTTCTCGGAGAGGAAATTTTACATCGTTTTGGAACTTAGCCATAAATCTACGGAAATTACCTAGCAAAGCATTAATTTAGGACGCAAGAAGATTAGATTTGGTCTGTACGTGTTTCAAACATTTCAAATTTATGCTCAAGTAAGAGAACACATTGTATATTTATTATTTATACTTTCAAATTCTCTTTATGAGATTTTGCTTAAAATACATTAGAATGTAATATATGTATTTCGTAATTTGTTTATTTATGTGGGAATTTGTTTGTGTGTATATATATATTTATAATTAAATTATTAATATTAAATGTTTATATACATATCGACAAAAATAATATTTAATTATTTGAAATATTGTAATAATGATAAAAAAAATGTATGAACTTTTATAATCAATATATACAAATCAATTAAAATTATAATATTTATATTACCATCTTTTCTTACAGAAAATAGTGTGCTTATACATATCTCCTTAAAAAAGTTTGTGGAAGAATCTTCAACATTTTACTATAATGTCCAATAGTGAAATATTATCAGATACATGTAATAGAAGACGTTCTCCTAGGGAACGTAAAGATTGCTTGAAACATGCCTTGCAGCGAACACTGGTTTTACGTAAAAATTTATTTCACATTTTTTGCTTTTTTCTTATATTTAATATAAAATTAATTAATAAGTAATTTACAGAGAATGTGATCAATAAATCTACTGTAAATAAACTTAATGAAGTTATAAATGAAGCTGACATTGTTGCTAATGAGACAAATATTCAAGAAAAAGGTATATAAATTATAAAAATTATTTTTATATTCTTGTGTATAGTATTACATTCTGTGTATATAATATTATATATTCTTATATGTATGCACATATAATACATATATTATAAATATTATATATATTATGTTTCATGTACTTTTTTATTTACATTACATTTTGAGAAAAATAATGTTACATTTTATAAAAAATTTTATAATTTTGCAGGAAGTACTTATGGATTCGCAAATGATGATATCATCTTCCAAAGTCCTGAAAACTTGTACTATTTCTCTGACAAAGAAAATGAATGACTATGACTGTATTGACTTTGCACAAAAGCTGGTACATTTGTTAAAAAATGCGATTATATGTTTATAATTTTTTGCAATGCTATGTTAAAATTAACCAAGGGATCTATGTATACGGAGTGTTAATTAATTTGCACCCACTAAATATATAGCAATATTTTTTATTAAAAAAATAAGTTGATAAGTTCAAAACTATTATAATATATTATTTTATATCCAATACAGTAATATTTGTATTGTTTAGGTGAAATATGTACAAGGAATGTCAGACAATCCGGAATTACCACCAGATTGGTCGCTTTTAGAGCCACAAGTAACAAAATTGTTCAAAAGGGTTCCTAACTGCAGTACACTCTTAGGTTTGTTTATGATCATTGGTATTAGGAATAGTTACAGAGTGATCGTAATTATTTAAACAGCAAATCTTTTTCTTGATGACAAAAAAAAAAAAAAAATTGAGATATAATAATCGAGATAAAAAAATTGAGAGCATAATAATGTTAATTTTTCTATAATGTAACTTTTTCTACTGATGCAACAATGCATTTATAACACGCAATTATTTAATAGTTTACATTACAAAATATATTTTTAAATTTATTTTGTTATATGACATAAGTTGATTTATGATTCTAATGTGATATTTTTATTTGCATAATAATGAAAAGAATTGATTTATGAAAAAAATATATAAAGATTGATAAAGAAATATAAAGTACTATTTAAAGAAAAATACAATTTGAATTTTGCAAGTACATTGTTGCAAAGAAAAAGAAAAATCATAGAAAGTTGGTTTTTATTATACTCTTCAATCTCTTTCTCTATCAAGTGAGATATTCCTTGTTCAATGTGCTTGACTCTGTATATATATACAAATATAAATATTCTATTTCCTTATGTAGATATTTTCAAAAGTATACTACTAAGTTTTTGAGTCTATAACTATACAGAAATCCAGCCAAATCTATTTTAATTTTAATTTTAGGTACATTGGAGCCTTTAGAGAAGAAAATTATAGTTAGGAAGAAACCTGAACAGAGAATAGCGCAGCAAGCTGCAATGGTAGTGCCTGAGAAACTAGTGCGAGTCGCAAATACCAAGGATGAGGACAGTGTTGAACGAACTGTGAGGAAGATTAGAAAATTAATTGTAACTTACTATAAGGAAACACGGAAACCACTAGATTTTTTCAAGTTAATTCTGCATCCACAAGATTTTGGAAGGGCTGTCAGAAATATGCTGTACATATCATTTCTTGTGAAAGATGGAATAGTGACAGTGAGAAAAGGTATTTTCTTATCTTCCTTAAGAAAAGTTACATTATTTTTTTCTTATTTCTAAAATTTGATAATGATATTTTTATTACAGATAATAATGGAAGCCTCGTCATACAACCATGTCACAAGGAAAAAAATTTGCAAAGAAGTGATACTAGAACAGGCATTCAAAATATAATTTCTTTAAATATGAAACAATGGATGGTAAGTTAAATTCTTAATAAATTTTCGATTTAACGGCTCTCGATTCAAATAGAATTTCGATTTTAGCAAATAAAATTCTCTGCTACTTTTAATTTCATATTAAGAACAATTTTATAAAATTGCTGTTTAATTATATCATATACTCTTTCGATTAAATTAGTTTATTCAAGTCCTTATATAGGTTTGATTATTACAGTTATAATATCCGAAATTATACGAATCTTTTTTTTGCAAAAGATATTGAAATGAATTGGATTCTCGTATGTCATCGTGTCACATTGGGTAGTATGGTTTGATAAAATATACCAATGATTTTCTGTTCAATTCATGAATATTAATTTGTATCTATAAATCTTGATGGATTATCATAACATTGACTGGAAACGTGAAGATGTAGGAAATGCACATTGAGTTATATATTCATTTGCAAAAAAAGTTTTTGACATATTTTATCAATCCATATTATCGAACGCTAGTAATATACGAAAAATGATCTCAACATTATCTCAATATATTTCAATGTATTATGAAAGAAAAAAAAATTTTGCATAATTTTTCATTTTGTACATTATAATTAAATACGTCTATAGCGAAAAAATAGAAGCACTACATCAAAGATTTTATTGGACAGACATAATTATGACAATATTAGAAAGTAAGATTATAAGCGACTAAAATTAATAAGAATATTTTTTTTCTCAGACATTAATAAAGATACATAAAGTGGAGAAACCAATGATTGATTTTGATGAAGATAAGTAATGCTGCTTATAAATTAACATATGTTTTTTATAAGCCCAGGGTTGGCACTATCTCGTAATTTTATATCTCCAAAACATTATATTAAATGTATTTTCAATTATATATTATATTAAAGGAAAGAATAATTTTATATTATAGTTACAATAATAGTTTATTAATCTTTTATTTAGCTATTTTATCACAATGTATATATAATAAGTTAGAATAATTTTGTTACAATGATGATGTTACTGTATGATGTAATTAATAATATTACTACTTGATTAAAATACTGCACGTATTAATATTTAGTAATATCTTTTCATCTTTTTTAATATTTTATTATTTACATTTTATTTAGGGGACTGTAATATCGCAAAATATGTAATATTGTATTATTGTAATATGCCAAGAGGTTAAATGTGTTTAATATAATCCGTTCTACTTAGATTTTGATAAAAATACGCTTAATCGATGTCTTTTTGCATAAAAACAAAGGCTTGAAAAGTAAAAATCGTTGCTCGATAGTGTAAAAAGAGTTATTAAGCGTTAAAGGTCGGTATTCATAGTCCATTCTTATATTCAAGATCGTCTTAATAGAGTTTTCGAATGTAGCAGATTTAATCGCTCTGAGAACGATTAATGATCTCATTGCATCATCTCTGCCAATAAAAGGCTTGAATTTATAGTAAAATATAGTGATTAATTGATTCGGATTAGATTAACCCGTTCATTCGAAAACGCTATACGTATATCAATGAGCAACCCATGATGCATTGCAAAAGTCCGCGAGAGCCAATAACAATCTATCTTATTTAGCATCTCTTTTTAATAGCGACTGCGCATACATGATTTTTTGCATTGCATTATGGGTGGTCCAGGATTATGACTTAACCTTTTTTTATATAAAGCCCTGCGCACAACAGAGAAAATATTAGGAATAGAAATAAAATATTAAATATCAGGAGAAACAATTTGGAATTATTTTACTTCAAACATAGGAACGGAATGAATTAACGCATAATAAAATAAAAAAATAAAAATTAGAAATCATTAATCCATTCCGTTTCCTTGTTTGAAGTAAAATAATTCCAAATTGTTTCTCCTGATATTTAATATTTTATTTCTATTCCTAATATTTTCTCTGTTGTGCGCAGGGCTTTATATAAAAAAAGGTTAAGTCATAATCCTGGACCACCCATAATGCAATGCAAAAAATCATGTATGCGCAGTCGCTATTAAAAAGAGATGCTAAATAAGATAGATTGTTATTGGCTCTCGCGGACTTTTGCAATGCATCATGGGTTGCTCATTGATATACGTATAGCGTTTTCGAATGAACGGGTTAATCTAATCCGAATCAATTAATCACTATATTTTACTATAAATTCAAGCCTTTTATTGGCAGAGATGATGCAATGAGATCATTAATCGTTCTCAGAGCGATTAAATCTGCTACATTCGAAAACTCTATTAAGACGATCTTGAATATAAGAATGGACTATGAATACCGACCTTTAACGCTTAATAACTCTTTTTATGCCCGTATCAGACTACGCATTGAAGATTGAGATTGAAGATTCAAGATTGAAATTTGACCAATCAGAATAAAGAAATTTTAGTCCTTTTTGTTTTGATTGGTCAAATTCCAATCTTTAATCTTCAATTTTCAATTTTCAATGCGTAGTCTGATATGGGCTTAAAGGTGCCTTTACATGGCAGCGTCAAGCGTCGAGCGTTAAGCGTCTGCGCAGAATATTGTTGCCCAGAATTATATTTCATTTATTTTATTATATAACAAATGTGTATGTGTGTGTGTGTGTGTGTGTGTGTGTGTGTGTGTGTGTGTGTGTGTGTGTGTGTGTGTGTGTGTGTGTGTGTGTGTGTGTGTGTGTGTGTGTGTGTGTGTGTGTGTGTGTGTGTGTGTGTGTGTGTGTATGTATGTGTGTTATTATTATTATTAATCAAAGATATAAGAGCAGTATGTCATAAACATGCAGGAAAAAAAAATATAAAAATTACATCCCTTAATCCTTGATTAGATTCTAATATTCTGCTGAGAGATAGTAACGTTTTATATATATTTTGTTTAATAATAATAATATCTATTGTGTATAATGTAAATAAATATCAATTTTCAGTATTAGTAATGTGTATCAGAACATAATTTTTTTTATCTCGACCGAATTCATATCACTCATCATGCTATTAGCCGCAAGAAGCTGGAATCTATCTCATTTAGATTCCTGCGCAATGATTTCTGCGCAGACGATCGATGCTCGATGCTGCCATGTAATGGCACCTTAAGGCCGGTTTTGTTACGCTCGCGATTGGTTCCCTTCTCGTTCCGCGTCACGCTAATGCGCGTTTCCGCGCTTCATGTAATGGCACCCTAAGAAATTGACTAATCACAGTCGAGTATTCTCTTCATACTTGATTGTGAATGGTCAATTTTTTAAGGCTTAGGACTTAAATCACCTATTGTAAACCGGCACTTAAAAAAATCTATGACTACATTTACACGTCACCTCTAATCGGGTTTAATAACATCCATAGTTCGAAGGCTGGCCAATCACAATCATTCCATTCTTCAGAGGAATAGCTGTGATTGGTCAGTTTCACAACTACGGATGTTATTAAACCCGATTAAGGGTCGTGTAACAGAGCTCTATCATACCGACAAAATTCTGGCATTACGAGCATGCGCAGCAAGTGAAAAGATGGTCGAACCGCGCAGCCCATAGGAGACGAGCGTCAGCCATCAAGCGCGGCCGAACAACGAACAACACCGAACGTGAACGCCAACGCCAACGCCAACGCCAACGCCAATACCGAAAATTATAACCGATGCGACACATGACACAATCTTTTCGCTCTTCGCCGTTCGCCGCTATATCGCCAGAATTTTGTCGGTATGACAGATTTCCTAACCTTCAAAAATGGCATCTTAACGTTTAATAACTCTTTTTATACTATCGAACGACGATTTATACTTTTCAATCCTTTGTTTTTATGCAAAAAGGCATCGATGAAGTATATTTTTATCAAAATCTAAATAGAGCGGGTTATTCTAAATATTTATCGCCGAAAGATATTACGAGAGCAAATATCATTAATCCGGTAGAAATATTAAGTTGAAATATTGGCGTATTTATATAGATATAAATATACATGTATACTTATATAAATAAATTGCAATAAGATGATGTGCGAAATCGCCTCACATCTCGCATTTGGCAGAAGGCTTGGATACAGTCGGATGAATTTTCATGACTAATAACACCTAATAACAACAGTGGTTGTGTTTCGAAATTCATTGCTAGTGTGCAATGTACTAATCTACTAATATTTTACTTTCTCTTTATCTAACGGCATAACCTTAAAGTCTCTCTCGGGTATTTATACAAATGTTCTTTCTCTCTCTCTTTTGTAGAATAACAAAATAGCAAAACAACAAACCTTGATCGATTTGCTGATTTATAATTGAATCCATGCAATTTCTTTAGAAATGCCGCCAAAACGAGGAAAGGTACAGAAGGAAGAGGTCCAAGTTTCTCTTGGACCGCAACTCCGTGAAGGAGAGGTAGTTTTTGGAGTGGCTCACATTTTCGCGAGTTTCAATGACACGTTCGTACACGTTACTGATTTATCGGGCAGGTACTATGTTAGATTATGTTGATTACATTTAGCAATTCTCTTTCATTATATGTAACTGTATCTTTGTGTGATTCAGGGAAACAATCGCCAGAGTTACTGGTGGTATGAAAGTGAAGGCGGACCGTGATGAAGCCTCGCCCTATGCAGCTATGCTTGCAGCTCAGGTACGTTGTATTTAAATTAATTCAAGAAATTAGTATTTCATATTGCGTTATCCACAGCCAGGCAGTCTCTAGATGATAAATCTCATAATCTAAGGAGCATTATATTTGTGGAGAAACAAATTCTTTTTGATAATTGAGAACATGTGTTTATATATCGTGTACTCTTCTCTAAGAAAAAAAAAAGGGAAACATATACAAATGTGTAATATTACATATAGGAATATCTAAATATACAAAGCATGATATCAAAAATTTTAATCGTGAAATATATAACTTTGTACTTTACAGGATGTCGCAGAAAAATGTAAATCGCTAGGCATCACAGCGCTGCACATCAAACTGAGAGCTACAGGAGGTAATAAAACAAAGACTCCTGGTCCTGGTGCGCAATCTGCTCTGCGTGCTTTAGCCCGTTCGAGCATGAAAATTGGTCGTATCGAAGATGTCACCCCCATTCCATCAGATTCGACCCGTAGAAAGGGAGGTCGCCGTGGACGCAGGCTGTAGGTCATGATTATAGCTCTCTTTCTGCATCTTATTATCTTTGAATAAATAATTTAAAGAAAGAATATGTTACGAATTTATAAGATATATTTCGATACAGTCTTTTTCGAATTCCTACATATTATACATATATACTTTTTTCAAAAATTTTGAAAACTACATATACATATTTTTTGGCTGCGATCGAGAAGACGCTAAAGATGCTTCGAAGCATTGCATTAACCAATTAGAATAAAGAAATCTTTACTCTCTTTGCCCTGATTGTCTCAACATTTATAATGATTACACGAACTTCCTTTTATAAGTAGTTAGCTCTTTATAAGTAGCGAAAGAGTACGCTATGCTACGTGCGAGCGAGAGAGAACGCAAGGGGCACGAAACAGAGTATGTCCTTTTCTACGTGTATCTTTACCCCCACTCCTTAAATAAAGGCAAACGCTCGGTCTAGATATACTATGTCTATGGATGAACCGATGGTTAAAATTAGCAAGTTCCGACTGACAACGTGTCGGGTTCGGACGTGTTTTTGCGTGCTGCGTATGTCCTTTGTCTGGACCTTTTTTTGGACTCCGTCCTCTCTTAGGCCGGTATTCATAGTCCGTTCTTATATTCAAGATCGTCTTAAGTACGATCTTAAGATACTATGCGGCCATTTCATTGGTTGAATGGGATCTTAAGACGACCCAAGACCACACTTAAGACGATCTTGGATATAAGAAAGGACTATGAATACCGGCCATAGTCCGTTCTTATATTCAAGATCGTCTTAAGGATCGGCAGGAGTGACGGCCAAACTCCGAATTGATATTGGAGACCTCGCGCGGTGACAATGCGAAACTCCGACTTCAGG